TGTTGTGCATAGGGTCGCTATGAGTCGAAAACGACTCGACGGCACATAACAACAACAATGTTATGACAGGTGTCCTAACATTTACATTTTCAGAAAGTAATATGATATAATAAGGACTACATGAGAAATGATTAAAGTAGGATTCTTAGGTTCTCCTCTGATAGTTTTGCCTCATGTCCCTGTTTCACCACTTACCCTACTCCATCCGTGTTTTTGAGAGCCCTATAAGAATGAGAGGTGTGAAGCAAATATTAAAAGATGGCACCACTTGTTTGCCTGTTCCTCCTTCACAGGAGATGCAGTCTGCTTTAATGTGCACATTTCTAAGTTATTTCATGAAAATTGCTACCTAGGTTTCACACTTGTCACTAGCAGTTGGGTTAATGTAGAAATGAACGCTTATACCAAAGTGAGACATAGTTTAAAACATGACCGTCTGGCTCTCCCTAAGAACTTTTGATACTTAAAAGCATCCATTTGATTTAGATTTGCAGTTGGAATACTTTAATCATATTATGTGGGCTTGAACTTTGAGGTGGTTTCCCTCCCCCCCCCCCGCCTCCATAGTGTGAATTCATGTTTCAGGGTTAGTTCTTCGGGAAAAACCAAGAGCTGTTGGGCATTTTAGTTCTTTTTCAGTGGTGGCATTTGAGTGTTGAAGTGATTAATGCCAAGGATTCCTTTGCAGAGCCGTGTGCTTTGTTCCTATTGTTGTCTTTGGAAATGAATTACTTTAATATTATTTGAGGAAGATACCAGATTTGTTTGTGTTCCTCTTTAGGATTAACACGTATTCTTTTCTTTTGATTACAGACTTTATATATGTACATGCAAGAAAAGCAAAAATGTCAGACGATCTCAGGAAAAGGTTTGAATTTCCAAATTCTCTTATCCAGTCACAGGTAATTTTTGTCAATCTATTAATCTATTTTTTCTTCATGGTAATGAACTTTTGGTGGATTGTTCATTGCGCTTTATATTTTTAACATGTATTTTATTCTACAGGAAGAAATTAGACTACTTTATTAAACTTTTGTGTCTGTTAATTTAAAAAATATATTCAATAGAGGAAAGTAAAGATTTGAATTTGATCATTTTTGTTAATTTCAATTTATATTGTACTCTTCTTCCTAGAGATAATAAAACCTTGATTAACTGAGAGGCCTCTGGATATGTATTTTTTTCTTGTCTAAAATTAATTTTTGAGGATGGAAGAAAAATGCTACATTTTATTACACTCCATCATGTGGTATAAGGGATTAATATTTTAAAAGAGTTATTTTTGACCTTTGTATTAGAATAATGACATTTAATCATTAAAGTATCCTGCATGAAAAAAATTTATATACTTACTAAGGCAGGATATTGTGATAATACATTATAGAGATGTTATCTTGAAATAATTTCCATTTTCAATAATTAGGATTGAAACAACGTTTTTCTGGTTAGCCCTCCACTATGTAGAAGCATCCGAGTTAATCGAAGTCTGTCTGATAATAACTTACTGCCTTTTTTTATAAGAATAAACCCAAGGATCTGGAAGAAACCTTCCTGAAGACTTAATGATGGGCAGCATCTTGCCTCCTTTCAGCAGTTAACTTCGGTGATGCCTGCCATGGAATTGACTTAGCTGGGGAGTGGAGAACCCTTTCATGAGGAGTAGAACGCTCGTTATGAAAGATTCCCCTTTACCTGACTGGGTTGGCATCATGTCCTGTTCTGTGTAGCACAGAACCTTACCATGGAGAAGAAAACAAAGGCTTGGCGGAGACCATCAACAGTTACTATCTGTCTGTGCTTGGATCTTTTCCCTTAGCATAGAGAAGCTTGTGTGTCTTACTGTTCTGATTAAATGGAAAGTGTATATGTTTAAGTTGATGGAGGATATCCATTTACATTGTGGTCATGGAAGGTACAGTGACAATATAGCTAGTTTAGAAACACATTTTGTAGCCTTAAATCAATTTAGGTTGTATTTTCTGATATTAGGAGGATTGGTTGAAAAGTAAATTAGAGAAATTGAACCAGATGGGGGATGGTGGCATGTATATTATTAAGCATAAATTCTTTGTCTTTTGCTGAATATGACCTGTTCCTTTATTTTCTTGTTTCTTATTGGGTTTATTAGATCTGCATATTTTTCCAGTCCGTCTTATTTGTTTGTGATCATTGTTCAGTATAAATACCAAATTTATGTAATTTATGCATGTTTCTCCCCACATTTTAACTTGTTTGCATTTGTTGCATCTTTTAATTGGTGGCAGCTTCTATCTAATTGTTACTGCCTGCATATGCATGAATTTGGCTGTCATTTTCTAAATAAAGCTAAAAGAACTCTTTCAATAATATAAAAATGAAATTTTTTTATATTCTTTTTTAAATTTAAGAAAAGTTTATACTGGTTTACTTACAAAGTTTGTATACATTGTTTTTTTAACAAGTGCTGAATATCACCAATAAATGCCCATCCTTTTTCTTTCTTAATGATGTTTGAAGTAATGATGTGTCTTGCAATTATCGGCCAGTTATAGTCTATAAAATGTGGTGTATTTTTTTTTCTTTAAAATGTGGTATATTTTGTATTCACATCCAGGGCAACATCTGTTATCTGAAATACTTCAATTGGTATACCATCTATTCCTGGGGC